CAAACAAAAAGCATCTTAAATCAAAAATAATAATTTCAATCAAAAATAATTTTTTCAACCAAACAAAAAATAATTTCAATCAAAATTAATATTTTCAACCAAAAAAAAAAATTCAACCAAATTAAAAAAGCAGTTTCAATTTAAAAAAAATAATTTCAACCAAAAAAATGTTTTATCAACCAAACAAAAAAAGCTATTTCAATCAAAAAAAAAAAACTAGCAAAACGTTTTTTGCAAAACAAACTTTTGGTTGAATCTCAAACTTTTGGTTGATGCTTTAAGTTTTTGGTTGACTGTCTAAGTTTTTGGTTGAACTCAAAAAAGATTTGAACTCAGAAATCACAAACTAGAGTAGTGGCACAGGGAGTAGAGAAGCCAAGCTTCTGATCAGAAGGTAGCTGGTTGGTCTCCATGTTGCACGTGTGTTCACGAGTGTGACAGGTTAAATGCAGAGACTTAAAATAGACCTATTATGCAAAATTCACTTTTTAAAAGTTTTTTTTACTCAACTTTGGGTGTGTACTTCTTAAGAAAACAGTCCTAGGACCAAAAAAATGCACCCAGGGGCATATTTACTGTAAATGTATTTTAATGTATTTTAATGACAAGTTTTATACTTCCTACATTTTGTGATGTCACAAGCCATACAACAACCCACCAGAACCTGCATTCAGCCCCTTACCTAGCAAACCCCAGGTGAAGCTCCTCCTCCTCTGTATAAAAAGCCGTCACGGTGTTGTGTAATGTGCAGCTCATTTTATAACAAGCCTCCTATAGCACAGGGGGTAGAGTGTTGGACCAGAGAGTGGGAGACTAGGGATTGAAACTGACTTGGACACAAAGAATTTAATTTTTTATTTTCGTTTGTTATGAACACGTTTTCTCATGTACTTCTGTTGTTTAGCTTATTAAAGCCTTGTTAAAGCCTATTTGCCAAAGTTGAGTAAAAAAAACCTTTAAAAAAGTGAATTTTGCATAATAGGTCTCTTAAGTCTCTGCATTTAACCTATCACACATGTGAACACACGTGCAAGATGAAGACCAACCTGGAGTTGAACAGACTACCTTCTAATCACAAGCTTGGCTTCTCTACTCCCTGCGCCACAACCCTAGTTTGTGATCTTTGAGTTCAAATCTTTTTTGAGTTTAACCAAAAACTTAGAAAGTCAACCAAAAACTTAGACAGTCAACCAAAAACTTAGAAAGTCAACCAAAAACTTAGACAGTCAACCAAAAACTTAGAAAGTCAACCAAAAACTTAGACAGTCAACCAAAAACTTAAAGCGTCAACCAAAAGTTTGAGATTAAACCAAAAGTTTCTGTTTTGCAAAAACTGTTTTGATAGTTGTTTTTTATTGAAATAGCTTTTTTGTTTTGTTGATAAAACATTTTTTGGTTGAAATTATTTTTTTAAATTGAAACTGCTTTTTTAGTTTGGTTGAAAT